TATATATATATATATATTATAGTGTTTATATATATATATATATATATATATATATATATATATTACTGTACAATCAAGTTCATCAAGGCTTTTATTTTGAAAGTTTCCATCAGAAGTCTTACTGTCTTGACAATACTGTCAATGGTCTTGACCCTGTTGTAAGTGTGTGTGTGAGTAGTGCATTGTTCATCCATTGTTCGAATGCTCAAACAGTTCTATATCTGGGTGGATTTAGAGAGATGCACTGTATTTATTCATCATAAACATAGAAATATATACTGAATCCCATTTGAAAAAGTTATAAAAAGTTCATTTTATAAAGGTTTCAAATAGTTTTAAAAATGTCTGATGTATAATTTGTTAGGAACATACATACAGTCTAAAGTTTGCAGATCTTACTCTCTCTTTGTTGCTCCCTCTCTTCCTCACACACACACACACACACACACACACTGAAAACACTACGCTTTGAGGGTTAGGCTGCTGTCAGCTCCAGACAATACACTGAAGATATAGAGCTGTGTTTACTGCAGAGAGAGAGAGAGAGAGAGAGAGAAACACAGAGAACACTTCTGCCATGACCTTTGACCTCACTCTGAATGTCCTTCCTGTTTCAGTCTTTTCCTTCGTACAGTGAGTTTTAGCTTCTCGTCCACCCCGTGTTCACCGCTTTGTGACTGTCAGTCCTGACTCCTGCTGTACATGTATTTGCCTGAAGCTGCTATCCACCAGTATACTTGATTATTCAGACTGCTGTAACTACTGACTCCCACAGCACTTTCCATATGGCTGTTCTCACAACAGCGGCCACAGCTCACATGATTGATACAGCAAATGCAAAACAGAGCATGATATCATCTGGCAACTTCTTCTGAAATGTGCAGCAGCCAACTCATATTTTCTTGAGTATAGAGAGCTGGCAACATTTCTGCCACCACTTTTATTTCCCATGAACAAAGAGAGCAGTCCATGCTAAATCCTAATATGCTATTTATTAGCCATGCTAGCAGCGTGACTCAATGGATTTTAATGTCAGTCCGTCTGCGGGTCAGTTGCTTCAGCATTTCTGTTCATACTGAAATATCTCTACATTTCCCATGAACTGTAGAACATTCATGGACATTCATGGTTCCCAGATGATGGTTCCCTGACCTTACCGCTAGCGCCATCACGAGGCTCACATTTGTGGTTTTGGATAACATGTTTTGACCAAATACCTGATAAATG